TCGGTTTGTTGGAGATAAGGAGCCATTCCCTCCACCCAGTTCAAAAACTTTGTTGACGAACTGCGGCAGAGAGGTGTGGGGGTGAGTGGCCTTATCACCAATGTCGAATGCATTGCAAAGTCTCTAGTAGACTCAAAGGAGAAGGAGTGAGTCGATTCACAATTAATTCTTGTAATATTTTCTTTATCTTTCAGTCTCGAGGACTTCATCACAGAATTGAAGCAGTTCCTCATGGAACAAAGGGTTATTAAAAAGACGAACATTAAGAAGGAGAAAAGACTCCTCTGCCCTCAGAGTCAGGCAATCGAGAAGTTCCTCTCGTCACAAGATGTCACTAAAGTCGTGGATCAGATTAGTAGAAAAAGGAAATTGGATACAGATGATGAAAGAAAGATATTAAAAGCATACCTCCTTAGGAGAAAAGATAGCTTTTTAGAGACTCTGTAAGTATATGTAAAATCCATATAATTTTGAAAATGCAATTAGACTAGATCCAGAAGAAGACGAGGATGATGAAGAAACAATAGATCAGGCAAGGGAGGTGTTCGGAATTCCCAGCATCAAGCCGATCCTAAAGATTGATCAGGCAGATGTGGGAGTTCCACGTCTCTTAATAGACGATGGAATGGAAGTTGCTGCAAAGACAGACAGGGTGACGTGGAGTGCGGAGGAGAGGGAGGCACTCAAAACGTTATTTAGGTCTACACCAAGGCAATTTAATGGCAAAAAGCCCCCAGTAGGGTACATAAGCACCGTCCTTAAAGAGAACAAGCACACAGATGCAGGGAAACTTTTAATATCAAAACCAGGACTAACAGCAAAAAAAATACAAGACAATGTACTTAGACTTATCTCAAAAAACTAATACCATGTAGTATATCTTAACCACCATATATTTAACTATATTTAAAATAAACTAAAATGTATTTAGATTAATATGTAGCATAGATAACCAGTGGCATTGAAGGCATTAATGTGTACATGTGGTTTGAAGTCTTAGCTAGCAAGCCCGAGGTCACTGGCTCAGGCAATTGGTCTATTCTCTGTGTACAGCCATGTGTATATGTATTTGCAAATAATTAGTCAGCACGAGCTCATATAATATCAGATTCACTTTGTAGCATAGATATCCATTGGTATTGATAAAATTAATGTGTACATGTAGTTTCAAATCTTAGCTAGCAAGCCTGAGGTCACTGGCTAAGGTAATGGGTCTATCCTCTATGTACAGCCATGTGTATATGTATTAGAACATGTAGTCACAACGAACTCATATAATATCAGATTCACTTCGTAGCATAGCTAACCATTGGTATTGATGACATTAATGTGTACAAGTAGTTTCAAGTCTTAGCTAGCAAGCCTGAAGTCACTGGCTAAGGCAAATGCAGCAGGTAATATTATAAAATGCAGAATTTTCTCCTAGTCATTTTTGGCTAAATGTGGCCAATTACCCTGTACTATAGTACAAGGACTATAACCTAATTTTTGAGCAAATTTATAAATTCATAAAAAATCAAATTTTGATGGAAATTAGCTCAAACTTGCTGCACGACATAAGATCATGTATGTCATCAGTAGATATTATGAAAAGTAAGAATTATCACTCAGTCATTTTTAGTGAAATTTTGCCAATTACCCTGTACAATGGTAGAGGGACTCTAACCCAATTTTTGAGCAAATTAAAAAATCCGTAAAAATCAAATTTTGATGGGAATTAGCTCAAACTTGCTACACTACATAAGATCATGTTTATGCATTAGGAAATATTATAAAAATTAAGAATTATCGCTTAGTCATTTTTGGTGAAATTTGGCCAACTACCCTGTACTACAGTACAGGAAATTTGACCCAATTTTTTGACGGGAATCAGCTCAAACTTCCTACTTGACATAAGAACACACATGCATCAGGAAATATTATAAGATGGAGAATTATTGCTTAGTCATTTTTGCTGAAATTTTGACAATTACCCTGTACTCTACTACAGGGACTTTAACCCAATTCTTAAACAAATTTAAAAATTCATAAAAAATCAAATTTTGATTGGAATCAGCTCAAACTTGCTACACAAAATAAGAACATGTATATGTATCAGGAAAAGTTTTAAAAATAGAGAATTCTCTCCTAGTCATTTTTGGCAAAATTTGGCCAATTACCCTGTACTATAGTACAGGGACTTTGACCCAATATTTGAGCAAAGTTAAAAATTCATAAAAAATCAAATTTTGATGGGAATCAGCTCAAACTTGCTGCACGACATAAGATCATGTATATGCATCAGGAAATATTATAAAAATTAGGAATTATCGCTTAGTCATTTTTGGTAAAATTTGGCCAATTACCCTGTACTATAGTACAGGGACTTTGACCTAATTTTTTGACGGGAATCAGCTCAAACTTGCTACACGACAAAAACACACAAGCATCAGGAAATATTATAAAATGGAGAATTATTGCTTAGTCATTTTTGGGGAAATTTGGCCAATTACCCTGTACTATACTACAGGGACTTTCACTCAATTTTTGTGAAAACTTTAAAATTCATAAAAAATCAAATATTGATGGGAATCAGCTCAAACTTGCTACACAACATAAGAACATATATATGTATCAGGAAAAATTATAAAAGTAAAGAATTCTCTCCTAGTCATTTTTGTCAAAATTTAGCCAAAATCCATGTACTATAATACAGAGACTTTGGCCCAATTTTGGAGTAACTTTTAAAATTCATAAAAAATCCAATGTTTATCAGAATCAGCTCAAACTTGCTACACAGCATAAGAACATGTATATGTATAAGGAAAAATTATATAAATGGAGCATTCTCTCCTAGTCATTTTTAACAAAATTTGGCCAATTACCCTGTACTATAGTACAGGGACTTTGGCCCAATTTTGGAGTAACTTTTCACATTCATAAAAAATCTAATGCTTATCAGAATCAGCTCAAACTTGCTACACAACATAAGAACATGTATATGTATCAGAAAAAATAATAAAAAAAGAAAATTCTTTCCTAGTCATTTTTGGCAAAAATTGGCCAATCATTCTGTACTATAGTACAGGGACTTTGACCTAATATTTTTAGCTAGCGTGCCTAAGGTCACAGATTAATAAAATTAAAAATATAATTTAAAATATAATTAAATAAATGAAATAAATAAAAATACAATAAATAAAAATTAAAAAAAAAATTACATTAAATTATATTGCCACAAAAGACCCCTGCAAGGTCCTACCCACAAATTAAAAATAAATAAATGAAGCAAATAAAATAACCAATGAATCAATTCAAAAAAATTTTTTTAATTTGTAAATTGGCTTGTACTAACAAATGAGACATTGGAATCAGTCTCCAAGATCCAACGTCTCATGGTACTTTGGACACGAAGAACTCTGACTTGGAACACTCAAGTATGTGGTAGTGGGACTACAGTACAATTTCATACATGCATTGTAAGTAGATGTACTGTTGCAGCTAGGTATACGTATCAGTATGTACTAACGAATGAGGACATTGGAGTCAGCCTCTGAGGTCCAAAGTCTCAGGGTACTTCGGACACGAAAAACCCTGACTGGGAACACTTAAGTATGTGGTAGTGGGACTAAAGTACCAATCTATACATGTATTGTAAGTAGATGTACTGTTGCAGCTGGGTATATGTATCAGTAAGTACTAACAAATGAGGACCTTGGAGTCAGCCTCTGAGGTCCAAAGTCTCAGGGTACTTCGGACACGAAGAACCCTGACTTTGAACACTTAAGTATGGGGTAGTGGGACTACAGTACCATTCTATACATGCATTGTAAGTAGATCTACTGTTGCAGCTGGGTATAAGTATCTGTAAGCACTAACGAATGAGGACCTTGGAGTCAGCCTCTGAGGTCCAAAGTCTCAGGGTACTTCGGACACGAAGATCCCTGACTTTGAACACTTAAGTATTGGGTAGTGGGACTACAGTACCATTCTATACATGCATTGTAAGTAGATCTATTGTTGCAGCTGGGTATAAGTATCTGTAAGCACTAACGAATGAGGACTTTGGAGTCAGCCTCTGAGGTCCGAAGTCTCAGGGTACTTCGGACACGAAGATCCCTGACTGGGAACACTTAAGTATGTGGTAGTGGGACTACAGTACCATTCTATACAAGAATTGTAAGTAGATGTACTGTTGCAGCTGGGTATACGTATCGGTATGTACTAACAAATGAGGACCTTGGAGTCCGCCTTTGAGGTCAAAAGTCTCAGGGTACTTCGGACACAAAAAACTCTGACCGTGAACTATTGGGAAGTGTGTCAGTACCTTACAATGCCTGCATTTAACCTACCAAGACCTTACAAAACCTTGGAGGGACCTTGGAAGATATGTTTGGACCTTAAAGGTGACAGAATCACCTCTTAGGTCCGCAGGATGGTAGAAAGTGTAAGGCCTAAACCCTAAACCCTAAACCCTAATTAAATTCGCGCCGCCCACGCAAACCAAAAATATCTGAAAAAATTGCAAAAAAAAAATCTGACAAAAATTCGATAAAAAATCTGAAAAAA